CACAAGAGCATTAGAGCCAAACTGGCCCCAGGTCAACATGGCCCATTATAAATATTCAGGATTATTTTTTAAGGTGTGTGGGAGGATAGGGAGTGACATATCTTTTACATGTCTATTTGTTTTCAGCTTTTTTAATCTTTTGTAGTAGCCATATGTGTGGAACCTGGCCGTTACTCTTGACTTTACGCCTTTTCATTGATTGAAGAACTGAGCCTTCACCCCCACACCCCTTATATTTCCTGTGGTTAATTTTCAATGCTCTACAAACACGGAAGAAATTGATCTTGATGTCACTTCTTTTCCAAATATAGTATTAGAATTTCAAATTTAATTGGCTCTTATCATGGTCTTCTATCAAGAACTGACTTTTAAAAGAGGAAGATCCAGAGACCAAGCAAATCTTCAGGGTATTTTATTACTGCAGTAAATCAATGATTATAACAATACTTTATATTCTGCAGCTTGTAAAATCCTATAGTAAAGGGAAAATTCTTGCCTAAAGCAAAGATATAACAATTACTAATTTGTGTTTTCTGTAATATATAACATTAAATACATTTTTAAACTAATTAAATTAATCAAACATAGGTCTCCATTTCAGAATATTTATTTGAATTTCAAGCTGCCATGGCATCTCATTTCCTGTCTGACATAGCATTCATTGGATTTTCTTGCCAGATTCAAGTATACTATGCTACAGGATAAACAAGCAGATAGAAAGATATCTTGCCTTCCCTTGACTTTTTGAATGGGCAAGTGCTTAATCTTTCTTTCTTGCTCTTGGGAGAATGTAACTCTGCTTCAAATTGTGACTTTGCCAGAGAGGACAACTCTTCCCATGCCCTATTAAGTAGAGAGGTGCTATTTTTTTCAGACTACCTGGCTGTTTGCTAAGTGGAAGTTTCTTCTCTTACCTTTGTGTGCACAGGAATGTATTGGATGGGAGGTGAATAGAATGTGAGGTCTCAAGGATCTCACCCTCAGCTTCACAGGACTGGCATTTGATAGGGAGTAGGCAATGGATTATCTCAGAGTGCTTTTTGCCTGCAGGCAATTTTGTGCAGTATATAACAGTAAACAAGATAGGAATTGGCAAAACACTTGTGTGATTTTCCATATGTATGTAGAGGCATAACAAGATCATTCAGTGCCCAGAGTGGGTGGGTAATGGTGGAAGACCAATCACTGGAGAGCGGAATAGGGAGATCAGGGGAAGGGAGGAAGAGTGGAGTCTTACCGCTGCTGTCCTGAGAGTGAAGGCTGCTACTGCTGCTGACACTGCTACTATAGCAGCATTGACTTGGGCCCATGAACAGGACAGCCCCATTTACTCTCCTTTGCCCGTACATATGTTACTGAACTCAGGTTGCATCTGCTTTGGCAAAGATTCCCTGGAGAGTGGTGGGGGGAGGGAGCACCATTTTGCTTACCTCCTCCCCTCCAGATATACTGCTGGGCACATCTAGTATCACTGGGCAGGGGCAGCTCAGAGCAAAGACTCCTGGGGCAGGCATGGTGGCAACAGTGATGTACCATGGGTCTCCGGTGCCCAGGGGCCAATGCATTTCTGTCTCCCCCCACCCCTCTGGCCCTTTGCACCGGGAACTCCTCTGCTCCCTCCCCAACCCTGTTTGGTTACCTGTTTCGGCCGGGAAAGAAATGAAAGTCCCAGCACACTGGACACAGGGGAAGGGGTAGCAGCCGGAATTTCTGGCCAGAACAGATGGGGAATGGTGGAAGACCAATTTGTTGTTTAACCCACCTGCCAACCCGTGGGGCAGGCAGGCGGGTTAAACAACAAATGGGGCTTCCACTCACATGATAAGAACTCTGAAGGGCCCAGCCAGCGCCCCCCCCAGCTGGTGCCCAGGGGCTATGACCCCCCCGTCCCCCTCCCCCGTCGGTCTGTCACTGGGTGACAAAGATTCCTGGGATCAGGGTGTGACTTCAGCACCCCCTTGATAGCTGGTGCCCCACTTGCCCTTCCTAGTTTTGCTACTGCATGTATATTATAATGTGAATACAATGTGTGTAATAGCAGGAGGAACCAGGGGGTAGAGCTATACAGCTGTATTGACTGTTGATGTGGACTGTAACTCCCAGAAACCCTCAGGGACTGGAGGGAGGTGGGGGGAAGCAAAAGAAAAAGGAAGAGGAAGTATGAGGCTATAGTAAGGGAA